CCACTCAGATGTCAAGTCCACAGGCAGTTAGTTGTTTGCGTTGTGACATAATTGGATCTTCCCATTGTCCCATTCATTAAAACTTTTGACATGTTCCTAATTAAAAATTTTTATTATGTACCCCAATATATGCACATTTGTTTTACTAAGAACACATGCATGGACCTATGAACAGTTATTAGGAAAGTTATAAAGCGTAAGAATGGAAATTTTAAACTGAACTGAAGATAAACACTTTTAAAGTCTGTTGCTAGTTGCGATGACTTCTACTATCAGTAGCTAAAATCTCAAAAGTGTAAATGTACGTGGAGGATGACATTCCTCGTTAATAAGACTATTTTGCTTTTTTTTTTTTCGGTACCAGGGATCGAACTCAGGACCTTGTGCTTGCTAGGCAGGCACAGTGCCACTGAGCTAAATCCCCGGCCCCTATTCTGCATATTCTTCATGAGAGTTTAAATTATTTTTAGCTGATGGCACTTGAATCTGAATAGACCATCACTGTTTTAACCTTGTGAGAAGCTGCTGAAGAGGAGTGGATTGTGTTCTCTTGGGCTTGCTTGGGCGTATATGTCTGTAAAACAGGCCAGATATCCCAATGAGGGTGGTGCTGGCAGTTACCTTCCTTGGTCTGAGCTTGCTGATTCCTGTCATCGGATGCAGGTGTTTCAAGTGTAGGTGCCAACATCAATCGATGTAATTTAATTGATTTCTCTCTCTCTCTCTGTTTTAATATAACTGAAGCTCATACATTGAAGTTCTGACATTTCCTTCCCCCATGACAAATCTTCATGCTTTGGAGACTCCTTGTCCAGGAAGTGGAGGTCTCTTAGAATCCTTGTCTCACCTGCATGTTTTGGGAATGGTGGCCTTGGGGAGAGATGTCCTTGGGCTTTGAAGCTGGGATTTCATAATTTTCAGTGCTCGAGAGAAGCTCAGGGCATCTGCAGATGGCAGTACTGCCTAAGTTCATGATGGCCATTCTGTTTCTTTACTTTGCTATCCTCTTGAAGGCTGGAGTATTTTGGAATTTTGGGGTGAACCCTTGGGGAATATGATGAAAACTATGACTCCCTATTCAAGAAAAATGCACAAACAAATTTTCCATTCAATTACAGAGGAATTCAGCGATCCCTTGAAGCTCAGGATGAAGAACCTGTTTAGAAGTGAAAAAGGCAAGTTAGGTTTGGAAGGCCTCTGTCCTTTTGTCTCAAAACTTCCCTTCCCTGCAGCTCCCTTGAGTTTCAGACCCTGCTTGCTGCACAGAGGTAGGAAGGAGCCGGAACTTTGATTTCAAAGATATTCAGGATTGCAATTCTACTCAGTCTCTCCATTGATTAGCTGGGTTAACTTGGGCAGTTTTACACTCTGTAAAATGGGTTATGATAATCCATACCTTTTAATACTCCCCTTTTTGTTAGCCCTCTTTCAGCTTTATTGGCCTTCTTGCTTATTCTTGAAGTATCTGACCTCTTTCCTGCCTCAGGGCCTTTGCACTTTCTGTTTGCTGTGCCTGGAATGCTCATTGCTTCATCTTCACGTGTGTTAGCTTTCTGTCACTATCAGAAATAGTTGAAACAATCAGAGAAAAAGTTTATTTTGGCTCCCAGTTTTGGAGGTTTTAGTCCATGAACAGTTGGCAAGGCAGCACATCTTGGTAGAAGCACATGATAGATCAAAGCCACTCATTTCATGGCCAGGGAAGCAAAAAAAAAAAAGAAGGGGGGAGACCAGGGTTCCCTAATCCCCTTCAAGGCCATGTCCCTCAGTGACCCGAAGAGCTCCCTCCGGACTGCACCTCCAAAAAAAGGTGGTCCACCACCTCCCAGATGCGCCACCCTGGGTTCAAGCCCTTTGACACATGGGCCTTTGGGGACACCCCAGATCCAAACTGTAGCAGCCCATGACCCATTCCTTCTCCCTTGTCACTCAAATGGTATCTCTTTAGGAAATCTTTTTCTGACCACAGCGTCTCTATTTAGAATTTTTTAAAAGTAGGACTCAGTGATTTTTATTATATTCACAGCGCTGTGCACTCGTCATCACTATTTGCCTCCAGTCTACTCTCTAACTTTAATAATGTTTCATCGTCCTAGCAAAGAACCTCCTCATATCTATTAGCAGTCACTTCCCATTCCCTTTCTCCCACCCCCAGCCTCTGGCAACCATCACTATACTGTCTCTCTTTATAGAACTGTATCTAGATATTTGCTATACATAGAATCATGTACTATGAGGGATGATAAAAATATAGTTCATGTTTAAAAAGTTTATTACAGTAGAAGGCACATTGCCATTAATCTCCCTCGAGACATTCCCCCTCACATTGATCCTGCCATTTCCTGAAGTAGTTCTAGAAGTCCTTTTTTGTGTCTTTGGGTGAGCTCGTGTGGCTGCTTCAATTGACTGAGTCAGTTCAAAACATTCACTCTCGTGGTCATTTTGACTTTGGCCAGAAGTTGTATGGTCCCAGATCCAGTGAATAAGGTGGATAAAAACACATTGTAATAGTTTCACAAGCTTGCCTTTCTGTTGGATGGTCCTTCATATTTTGGATCACACCCTGTAAAGACACTCATGAAAGCAGACTTCTAGAACTGCTTCAGAAAGTGGCAAGAATAATGGGCTAAGTGTGATCCAAGCGAGGGAGAGTATTGTGAGGGGAAGTAATGGCAAGATGTCATTTACTGTAAAATTTTTCTAAAAATTTAAACACTCACTATATTTTTATTGTGCCTCATTGTGCAGCTTTTTGTGTCTGGTTTCTTTCAGTGGGCACAATGTTTTCAAGTTTCATTCATGTTGTAGCTGGTGTCCAGGATTCATTCATTTTCATCAGTGAATAATATCCCATTTCATATTCCTTATGTGATCATCCATGTTGATGGAAATTTGGATCGTTTCCACTTTTTGCTGTTGTGAAAAATGCTGCTTATGCAATTCAGTCTTTCTTGACTGCATTACTCTTTGTTTGCTTGTTTATTTGCAACCCTTGTTTATTTATTTAACATGTTTATTTTTTATTCTCTCCCATAGAATATAAGCTCCAGGAAGGCAGCGACCTCGTTCATCTTGTGCACTGCTGTATCCCCAGGGCTTTGTATCATGCACGGCACATAGTAGACAATAAATACGTGTGGAATGAACAAATGTTTGAGCTCTGTTGTTATTCTCCGTTTCTTAATGGCCCCTTATCTTTCCCAATTCATGTGGAACTCTTGCTGTGCTGACCTAGGTCTCTTTCACCCCTGAGACTTCTCACCGCTGTGTTTCTTGCCCCACAATATTACTGCACCATGATCAGGCCTTCCCTGAAACTCAGGACCTCTGCTGTCCTAGCGTAGTCTCAAACTTGGATGCCCGACAGACACACTTGGAGGCCTGTGAAAATGCCCTTCATGGGAGCTGGCCCTGGAGCTTCTGACTCAGGGTCTCCATGGATGCAGAAATTTCCATCAAGTTTCCTGGCTGCTGACGTCACCAGTTGGCAGTCCATGATGCGAGATTCACTGCTGTGGTGGGTTGGGTTTCTGCAGAGAGGCTGAGGCTGCTGAGCTCATAGGCGGTCTGTGCGGGCCTCTCCCAAGCAGTTCTTCCTTCTCTGTGTTCCTGTATGTGGATTCAGAGGGTGCTGGTTAGCTGGGGACATCTAGGTATATCCTAGAATACGGCACTATCACTTGTGGGTATGTAGACTGGGGAAAATGCTCCCTGATTGAAGAGGAGGCCTGTTGATTGCAGTGTGGTTTACAGAGTTCAGGGAGCTGTTGACTTTCTACATGTCCATAGTCAGGGAAATGATAAGCAGAGCGGATGGTCTACTGGATTATAATGAAGCAGCTGGATGTTTGTAGCTGCCATCTGTTCTGATTGGTTGGTCCTTCCACCTTACTAGTTGTTGCATGTGGAGACTCGTCCCTGCAGGTGAGTGAAAATTTGGGAACCGAAATTTGGGAAATTTTGGGGATACTACCCAGTGGTTTTGAGGGATGAAAGAAATTCACATTCAGCAGCATAGCTGAGTCTCAGGTTGCATAAACAAAGGAAGAAACACCGAGGTATATAGTTAAAAACACCATTTATGTAAAACATATACAAGATAATACCAACTATATCATATATCTTTTTTTTTTTTTTTTTTTGGTAGCGGCGATTGAACTCAGGTCCTTGCGCTTGCAGAGCAGGCGGCAAAACCACTGAGCTAAATCCCTGGCCCTATCATATATCTTTTAAGAACATTAATTTATTTAAATAAACACGTGGTTAAGGCTAAAGTGGAAAAATGTGTTGGTAGGCCTGATCTTAGAGTGTGTTATCTGTTTGACAGTTGTCTTTTCTCTGTTCTATATGCACACACTGAACTTGTAAGCGTACATCCAATTGTGAAGGTCACTGTTACAGCTTGAATTTTGTTCCCATCTTCTCCAAACAAAACAAAACAGACTTGTTCAAATCCTTGCACCACAACTTACTTGCAGTGTGACTTTGAGCAGGTTAATTCACCCCTCGGAGCCTGTTTGCTCATCTGTAAATGAGTAATAATTCTTGTAAGGTGCTTTGTTAAGGCATGTAATTCGATTAGCATAGTGACTGGCTTATGGTAAGTACTCTCTAAATGTTAGCTGTTGCTACTAATATTGGGCCATTGCTATCCATGAAATGTTGGCATTTGTGTTAGATATAAAGGAAAAACTAGAGAGGAGATGCGATACATGTATTCATCATTAACCCTCTCAGCAGTTTGTGTGGTAGATGATACTGTTGTCATACAGCTGTTGTGAAGAGCTTGTGAATGAGTCTGTGTGAAGTCATTGTGTAACCTCTGATCGAAGTTATTTTATTTATTGCTTATATGTTTTCCTCTGTCCCACTCCCTCCTGGAACAGTGCCTCCATGGGGGAAATGACTTTGTCTTTTGTGTACAAGGACAGTGCTTGGCCCATGGCATGTATATGGCATTGTATTTGGATTTAACAGATTCCAATTCTTTCTCCTTTCAGGGCACTTGCAGATGTCATGAGGCCACAGGGCCACTGCAACACTGATCACATGGAGAGAGACCTTAACATTGTCGTTCACGTCCAGCACTATGAGAACATGGACACGAGAGCCCCCATAAACAACCTGCGTAAGTACAGCTCCATGGACCACTTTCGGTCCCACATGGTGACCTGCACAATGGTCACATCACCAGATTTCGTGATGTGTGTTTGGGTCAGTTAAGAACTTCTCTATGTGGATAAGTTCATGTTTTATTTTCCCTCTTCTGGATGAGACTGAGTTTGGCACGATCAGATTTCATATGGTTGCTTTCTGTTAAATAGGGATCCTCTTGGTTGGTTTCTTATGGTTGGTTTTTCTGTTAACTGGTAGACATGATTGATTAATTTTGATCAATTTATTAACTAATGGCCCTCTTGGTTTGTTAATCATGGTTAGGTTCTCAGTCCCTTCATTTTGTTGATTTATTTTGACCATCATCTATTAGACAATAGTCCATTCACTTAATTATCTGACTCCTGAGGTAGACCAGTTGATACTTTTAAGTTTCAGTCTATTTTCTATTAAATACAAGTTCAAAAAATTAAAACTAGAGTTTTATAAAAACAATGCACAAAACACTGTGTGCGTGCAGTTGGGGGGGTGGGGGGAGGCGGAGGCATTGACTTGTGGTCTTAATGGCTTGGAGTAAGCATACAAGATTCAACAGGGCCGGGGAGCTCAGTGGTTCTGCCGCCTGGCCTGCAAGTACAAGGAGCCAAGTTCGAACTCTGGTACCAAAAAAAAAAAAAAAAAACCATTCCACAGCAAATTCAGTTCCATTCTTCTGGGAGCGGGGAAGCTGCTTTTTTGTTTTTGCTGCTTTTCAATAGGTCTTTTTCGGCAGCTGGAGAATACGTGGGGCTCTTGGTACACTCCCGGAGATTTTTTTCCGTTTCAAAGGTCCGTATATACAGTATACCTTATGGAGCTGATGTTCTGACTAATGGGAGTGGAGGAAAAATAAGATTGTTTAGCTTTTGACAATTGCATATTACTGTAGTTATTCCTAGTGATTATGTTTTCAAGTAACCCCCATTAAAGTAATGTGGAGGGCTTGGTTTAAAATAACAAAAGCCAGACAATTCAGAGGATGCATTTAGTTGTGGCTGGAGGTTTCTGAAAACAGAAACTACTTTACTGCTGCACATTTTTACAGTCTGGGTGTCCTTTGCTGAAGCTTTGCTAGTAGTTGCATGGTTACTTTATTTGCTGAATCATAGTCTTGAACTGTTTGGTTATAAATTTTTATGCTCAACAGGTCTAGGAAGAAGTCTGCAGAATTTAACATAGGTGATGTGAATGCTCTGGTTTCGCGTGGTGATAACTTTTTGTGGTTTTAGAAATTGTTGCTGTGTGTTAGCAAAGTCAAGGTTTATATGGGTTGAAGAATGGGCCACCAAATGGGACTTAAAAAATTGTATCATATTAAATAAGTTGGCATTATTTATAAATTAGATAAAAATTATTAGAAATAGCCACATTTTAGAGCAAAATATATCAGCAATTGGAAGTTTTTTGGTACTGGGGATCAAACTCAGGACCTTGTGCTTGTGGGACAGGCATGGCGGCACTGAACTAAATCCCTGGCCCAGCAATTGGAAGTTTTATGACCAAATCCCACAGTCCCAAAAGAGGTGGTAAATGACACCAATTCTGACATGGTGATCGCTGTGTTCAATTTTGGTTTTGATGGAACTGAACACATTCTCTTTCAGATGGCACTGGGAAGTAAGTTGAACATAGATGTATGTGGGCCCCAAATATAAGTGAGTGAACACGATTATGGAGCAGCGATATTGACATGGTTTTGAGTCCCTGGCTATAAAAAGTGGCTGTTCATAGGTTTCTCACTTGAAGTTTCAATCTCTAGGGTGATTTTGAATCACTGTCAAATGGAATAACAGATTCACTGAAGTTACCCAAGTTTCATCATTCCATCAGGTAAAAGGCCAGGAAGACATCAAGGAATACTGCTTAAATAAGGGACTTTTGTTTAAAGTTGCACTGAAAATAACTTACTGCTCAGAGATGGATGTCCAGATTCTAAGTAATTCAGAAGTATCCTGTGACAGGCTACCTTGATTTATTTATGGTTCTTGGCTTTGGTCTGTATTTGTGCCTCAGTAATTGGTGATCTCTTACACCAAGGGATAAAGTGTCTTGTAATAGTCTACTGAGTGGAACTCTACTGAAACATTCCTGGTAAACCCCAGGGAGTAGTGTCACACACACTGTGTTCTTATAAGAATTGCTACAGCAGCTAATTTCATATAATCTTGTCACATTGATCCAGTCCTTTTTTCCTAGCATCTTACAAAAAAAAATAAGCATGTAGCCTTTCATAGATTTACGTTCTTAAATTTAATTTATATAGCACAACAGTTCAGTGGTTAATAGTAATAATAGGTTTTTTGGTAATGGTGTATCTCTTCATTGATTTACAGGAGCTACTTACATATTATGGACAGAAAAATTTTTACGTTCACACTTCATTTTCTTAATAGTGATGTTAGTTCACTTTCTGATCTTTCCTTCATGTTTGGGTCAGATGCTAAGGGAACTAACATCTAATGTAGAAATCTAGGTGTTTGAAAGTGGAAGAGGGAGATGGAAAAGAACTTGGGAGAAGGAAAACCAGGAGGAAAGGTTTCCCATAAGGGCCAATTTTTGCCAGCCTTTCTTAGTAAATTTTTTGGAGTTGATTTTTCCTGTGATTTGTTAGACTTGCCTTTTATCTAAAGATGGATTTGTCTTCAGCTGATGCTGTCCATGTTCTTTCCAGGCATTCAATGATATTGCCTAAAAATATTTAGGCTGGTAATCAAAAGGGTCTCAACCTCTTTGATTAACAGTAGATTCCAGTGAGATAATGATTTTCTACAAAATGCTCCTCAGCTTCTGTATAATTATAGTTTGCTTTTGATGGCACATTTTGTCCTTCAGTTCTTTGAACACACTTTGGCTCTTTCACCTCAGCCTCCCTGCCTGCCACTGGCATTCCTCCACCTTTTGGGGGATGAAGGGTGAATGCAAGTTCCATGCAGTCATCTTCAGCATAGGAGATGTGGGTGGGCCACTGTGGATAAAACCTGGACCAGTGTTTTCCAACTTGTGGCGTTATCATAAGTTTTGAGATAAAATTTTTGCTTTGGGATAATCTTTACTGAAAAGTTGCAAAGATTGTATGCAGAGTTCTATACACTCCATACCCACTTTCTCCTAACATTAACATCTTACAGGGGACATTTGGCAGAATGAGGAGATCAGCACTAGTAAATTCTTTTTAGTTAAACTGTAGACATTGTTTGAATTTTACTAGTTTCTTCCCTCATGTCCCATTTCTGTTCCACGATCCAATGTGGGAATGCTGTCTTTAACCCAGAATCCTGTAATGGTAGAATTTTGGTTGTACAATCTAGTAATACAATATGTGGTAAAGATAGGAATAAGTCTGTTGCTACTGTACAAAAATCGTCTCCCAGCATTTGTGAGAACATCCGCGTAAAGTTACTTACCTGGCCAACATTGGCGTTGGACCCATTACTGCCTGGACTGTCCTCTGGTGCATGCTAATGGGACAAAATACTCTTACTTCCCTGCTCACATGCAGGGCATTTGGCATTTGGTTGATGTCACACTATTTATTTTATAACATAATGTGAACAAGTGAGATCTTCCCCAAACTGAGGACAGATGCTAACTCGGTGTTTAGGACACAGGATCCACTAGAAAATGCAGTCTTCTATATTCTAGTCTCACCTCCTAGTCCCCTAGGATGATTCTGAAGTAGAATTACAAGAAATCAAAAAGCAGATCCATAGTTGAGTTTCTGAAGAGTTTGTAAAGCTCATATCATTTGTCCATTCATTTGTTCATATTTACCAGGGCACCTGAGATAATCCTACACTTGATTTTTGGAAATACCAGCAGGGATATTCCCAACTGTTGTTAAAAACTGGGGGCCAATTTCCTATCCATGGTAGACAAAAAGCTAAATATAGATATCAGAGTTTACAAGAATAAACTCTACCTAAAGCAGTACAATATTAACAGTGACTTCTGCAGTAGCATTGTAAAGCCCCAACACAAGGGATCCTCAAACCCTATTGTTTTCACCATCATAAAGATGGGGCAATTGAGGCCCAGAGAAGTTTAGTGGTCCGTGTAAAGTTTGTATAGATAAAGATTGCTGGAACTGGGATTTAAATTGATCCAGTCAGGCCCCAAGATATCTATGGTCTGTCTTGTGGTGCATGTGTTTGCAGAAAACGTCTGTCTTCCCCTAGAAGCAGGGATTATTGAAGGCTATGATAAGTGAATGGAGGGCTCCATTGGAACCCTGGAAAAGAGATCTGTTTCCAAAATGTGCCTCTCACCTGCCATCCTGTCATGTGTCCTCTCTTAGGAGGACAAGCGCTTACTGAGCACGTACAGTGTGGCAGGCACTGTGCTAAGTGCTTTGAATATGTCGGCCCATTTAGTGCTCAGGACACCTCTCATATAGCCCAGCTTGTTTTTGCCCACATCATGTGGCTCCAAGCCTTTGTGAATCTGGCCTCTTCCCTTGCCCTTCTTACCCTGATGGCTATCTCCTTAGAGAGGCCTTCCTTGCTTATCTCCAGCCCCCAAGTCACCAGCTGCTCCCCATTTCCCCATAATTATCTTGATAACATTTTGTTTCCTCTACAATTGTATATTCATTATTTTATCTCTGCCTCTTCCATGATAATGTAAACGCCATCGGGAAAATGTTTTGTATTGTTATAGCTATACGCCCACACCAGGAACAGGGCTGGCATGTGGCAGCAACTCCATAAATGTTTGTTCAATGAGGGAAAAGCCTATGGGAGAGGTACCATTGTTTCCATTTTATGAGCAAGAAAACAGATTCATGGAAATTAAAGAACTCATGTAACATGATGACTGAGATTTGCTTTAAAAATATTCCAGAAAAAGTATAAAATTGTGGGAGATGGTAGGTGAAGCAAAATTGGAAATATATTGCAGCTAGGTGATCAAATACCTGGGGATTTAGAATTCTTTCCCCTCTATTTTCATATGTATTTGAAAATATATATAACAGAA